ATTTATTAGTTGGAAATGGGAAGCAATAATATTCATCTGACCAGTTTTCTCTTAAAGCCATTTCGATGATGATGATGATGGGACCCGATTTTTTATTTCAGTCACTCCTAATAAATAACAAATTTGGAGAAATAAAAATATCTTTAAAAAAAAAAAGAAATGGCTTCACACCTTGGAATGACAAATGCTCAAATGGCTCCCAGTAAGTGCGCACGGGGACACCACTGTCAGAGTGGTGAGCAATCATCTACCACAAAATGTAACAAAGCAGCAGAGGTGCCTAGGAAGCACGTGAGGACATACAACCTCTAAGGCCCATATAAATCTGTCAAGAAAACTTTCCGGAGGAAGGAAAGATAGAAGAAAAGATTTGGGTATCAACATTTGGTAATGTCTACCTCAATCTTCCTGACTACATTCAAACCGACCTTGGTATGCTGGTCCCAAGCACACCATCCAGCTTGAGTTTCAACGCTAGGTGGAAGAAAAGGAAATTGAGGGCAAGTCAGAGCCCAGAAAGGAGCGTAATTTAGAACTGCACAGCGGGGGAGACTGAGTTTGAGTGTGGGAAACGGGAAAGGGGGCGTGTGGGGTAAAGAAGGGAGTGCAGTGGAGTCAGCCCTTAGTGAACAAGTCTGCCTTGAAGGTGGAGATGGGCACCCCTCTGGCTGAGTCTGCTCCAGCAGAGAGCTCGGGGCCAGCAGCAGGCACCGCAAGGAGCAAAGCAACTGGTATAAGTCCCACAGCTTCCCGCGACCAAGAGTGCTTCATTCTGCCCAGGCATCTGTTCAGTCCCATCTTTTATTTTAAGACCGGATCTGGCTCTGTCACCCAGTCTAGAGTGCAGTGGTACAATCTGGGCTCACTGCAGCCCGAACTCCTGGGTTCAAGCGATCCTCCTACCACAGCGTCCCAAGCAGCTGGGATTATGGGTGCACACCACCATGCCCCGCTAATTTTCTACTTTTTGTAGAGATGGGGTCTCACTGTGTTGCCCAGGCTTGTCTCAAACTCCTGGGCCACTTCAGCTTTCCAAAGTGTTGGGATTAGAGGCATGAGCCACTGCATCCGGCCTAAATCTTTTCAATCTTCTGTTTTTAAAAGCAGACATCTCCCTGGTTGGAGCAAGGAGGAAACAGGGCTTTGGAAAGTTCCGAGAGCCAAGGAGAAGCCCCACAACAGTTCGAGATCTTTCCAGAATAATCCACACTCCACCTCCTCATCCCTCTTACCAAAGGGCGACACTTTGTTCCTGGGAGTAGGGGGAGATATATGCCCAGTACCTGTCCTCATCCAACAAAGTCACAGGCACCCAAGGGCAGCCACGCTGCCACCGAGGGCCCCCGGCTGCTCACCACCGCCAGTCAGCTCCTGCCTTTCTTAAAAGGAGACACGCGGCTCGCATCCCCTCCCCGCCCTGAGGAGGCACGCGTCTCGGCCCTGCGCCATGAAGAGGCACCTTCCCACCCCCGTCCCTCAAACGCGCGAGGCCACGCGTTCCGGCCTCCGCCACCTCCACAAGCCGCAACACTAGTGAGTGGGCGCCCGCTCCCAACGGTCGGGGGCGGAGCTAAGAGCGCCGCGCCCAAAAAAGGCGGCAAAGTCCCTGACTCGCTGAGATCTTGCGAGCTGCGATGTCTATCCCCTTCATCTCCTCTCCTCCGACAGCACGCCGTGATTCCCCTAAGGCACCTTTCACCGTTAGGGATGAGGACCCCGCGGCGGTTCTCGGTGTGGCTCTGATTCACCGCCATCTTGCTTCGGACCTCCTCCTGCCGCCCCGCAGATGGAAAGGGACGGGACCTGCGCCAAGTCGTGTGGCGTGGCTCTGAGGGGGAGGGCGCAGATTATGACGTAAGGAGGAGGAGGAGCGAGAGCGGGTCACGTGGCGAGGCAGGGCGGGGGGCGGGGTCAGAGTGGAGGCCCCCGCCGAGAAAGGGGATAAAGGGGCGAGTCCTGAGAATTGGCTCCGCCCCCCAGAGCAAGAAGGGGTGAGTGATAGGTGAGTGGCCACCCGACCTCACCTGCCCCATTAGCCCCCTGCCTTTAGGTATGTACTTGGGTTGGTCCTGTTAGGAATGAAAATTAAAGGCAGCCGTCACGAGAACCCCAGCCAGGATTTCCCTGTGTCCTCCTCGCCCGGCCAGGAAACCGCTGCCTTTCAGAGAAAGGGTCCAGAACAACTCCTCGCCTCCCTAGGCCCGCAGAACTTTCTTCCACCAGCGGAGGCCCAGAAGCCCTTGAGCGAGTCCCTGCCAGTTTCAGGATCGAGTCCCTGCCAGTTCCAGGACTGAGTCCCTGCCAGTTCCAGGATCGAAAGCGCCTTTGTCTATGGGCTATCTTTCATGTCTCCCCTGCTTCCTCCAGGGTGATGGTGGGAATGGGGTGGGACACGTTATACCGGAATTGCTTTGAGGACTAAAATGTTGTACATGTTCTTATTTCCTTTAAGCTTCACAAATACAGGCCGGGCGCAGTGGCTTACGCCTGTAATCCCAGCACTTTGGGAGGCCCAGGCGGGAGGGTCGCTTGAGCTCAGGGGTTCAAAACCAGCCTGGGCAACATAGTGAGCCTTGTCTCTACCAAATTTTTTTTTTTTTAATTAGCCAGGTGTGGTGGCTTACACCTGTAGTCCCAGCTACTCAGGAGGCTGCGGCAGGAGGATCGCTTGAGCCAGGGAGATGGAAGCTGGGGATGGCAGTGAGCGGTGATCACACCACCACACTCCAGCCTGGGCGGCAGAGCAAGACCCTATTTCAAATAATAAAAACAAACTTCACAAATAGTATCAGAGATCTTCAAAGAGATTAAAAAGATCTTCAAAGAGATGTAAACCTCTTCTTGACTACTGTATTTCATGGAATTTAAGATGCTATTAAGTATAAGATGCAACAATTTTTCATGTACCGAGGAAAAAAAAAGTTGCCAAATAAACTGACATCCCATCAATTGTAAATGTACCTTGATTTCAGAAAATTTACTTCAAAATACAAGACTTACTAGAGCAACCTTGGGCAAAGATTATTATGTTCTCGGGACTTCAGTTTCCATGTATCTGTATGAAGGCATTGAATAGAAGAGCTCTCAGGTTTCTTTCAGCTGTGACATTTTATGTTCATCAAACTGCTTTGTAACTCACATTTCATTTCTCTCCATCTCAGTGTCATGATGCTACTCTACTTCCTGCCCTTATCATTTTACTTCAATCACTCCAAGAGCCTCCTGCCTCGTCTTCCTCCAACTCTGACCCCTCCAAACCACTTCCCACCATTCATCTGTACCTTGCACTCAGCCTACAGAATGTTGAGGCCTCAAACATAACTGCCTACAGTTGTCACGTTCAGAGAAATAATATATAAGGAAATATTGTGTTATTTGCTGGCTACCATAAAGAGTGTGCACCTTAAGGAGAGGAAGGGTTGGTTTAAGTTCAAGAAAGATACAAGCTAGTGCTTAAGTTTTAATCCTTATTCACTGTAAAATAAGCAGGTATCTAGGTAAGATGGGTCCACTCCTTTTATTTATTTTTTATGTATTTATTTTTGAGACAGGGTCTCGCTGTATTGCCCAGGCTGGTCTTGAACTCCTAGGCTCAAGTGATCCTCCTGCCTTGGCCTCCCAAAGTTCTGGGATTACAGGCATGAGCCACCACGCCCAACCAGGTCCACTCCTTTCATAGACTTGGTCCTTACACATTCAGGAAAAAGGAGGGGAAAGCCAGAAAGTTAACTGAATGGAAATAAGCATCATTTTCACCGGAGACAGGCTGTGCTTTGCACAGCATCCTTCAAGGTCAGGTGCGATAGTTCCATCACTCACTCATTTTGTTGTTGTTGTTGTTGTTGTTGTTGTTGTTGTTTTTGAGGCAGGGTCTTGCTCTGTTGCCCAGGCTGGAGCACAGTGGTATGATCTCAGCTCACTGCACCTCCAACCTCCCATGCTCAAGCCATCCTCCCACCTCAACCTCCCATCCATTACTCACTTTGGATATAAAACACTAGAAAATAATGACTGAGGCCCGACCTCACGCCAACTGAACATGAACTGACCTCACAAGGTGTTTTCATCTCTAATATCTGTAGCTATTTCTTACCAAGAGAGTCTCACCCTCCACACATGGGTGAGATGACATAACGGCTGATTTGGTCAAGGAGCACAAATAAGACAGGCCAAGCAGTTACTGTTCAAACAGCAATGTTTAGTTGTACAACACATAAAGTCTAGCAACAATTACAGGACCAGTTTGAGTGTCTGTTTGCTTGTTTTCAATTGGGAAATTTAACTGTAATGTCACCATAAGATTGGCTGGGACTGGTAACATTTTAGAAATGGGTCGTTCTTGCATCCCCTAGGTATGGGCCTCTTGCTCCATCAGGACTTGGTTGTAGATGAATGGCCCACAAGTCACCAGCCTTTGAGCAAGTTGTGTCCAGGTGGAGACAGGGAGGGGGTGGGCAAAGGGGAATTCTATAAAGACACAGTGTGTGGGGCAGTGGCAGTCAACATTCGCAAACATTCATGCATCTGATGGGGGGCTTTGCCCTCCCTTGGGTATTTTCCATTAGCCTACAGTGACCACCTGTGGCCAGGCTAATTCATTACTCACATTAATGGGGAAGGGGGTTGGGGGTAGAAGTAGGTAGGGTAGGTGGGAAGAGATCCTTCTTATTGCTGAGTGGACAGAAGGGTGTTAGTTTTTCCTTAGCATGTACGTATTGTGGGTTTCTGGGGGTTTGTGTATTTAGTTTTTGTTTGTTTGGACAGAAGAACGTCAACTCCAGCAATGTCTTCTTAGGAAAACCACTCTTCCTTAGTAGCTGCATTATGAGGTGAGGAGGATGTACAACCGCACTCTGGGCCAGCCACAAGTGGTGATTTTTTAAAAAGTGATCCTAGCCCTTGCTCCCCAACATCTGTAGTGACCCACCCTCATGAATACTTTTAAGTGATGAAGGAGACACCCTTGTCCCACGTTGGGGCTCACACAATTGATCTCAATGAATCTAGCAAGCAGAAAAATTGCTTTCTTGACTTTTTAAGGAAGCCAAGAGTAGCTCATGCAGATGAATGGGTAGGGAGCAATGCCATTGCCCTTAGAGATGGTTACAAGTAGCTGGGATGGGCTTACAAGGGCAGAAGAAACTCTTAATGAGTTCTTTCGCCTTGCAGATGGGCTGGGACCGGCTGACACAGATGATGTGGTAGGGCAGTGCTGGCAGAACCCCACTCCACTGGGAGGAGAGGAGTGGTTTGGATAAATGGAAGATGCAACTGTCCTAAAGAGGCAGCTGGCCCCTCCCACCTACTGAGGGCTGAGAGGGGCTGTGGTGGTGAGCTGGACGAGCACAGCACTAAAAAGGGCCTGGCCCTGAAGCAATAACAGCTGAGAGGAATGGAGGGAGAAGCAGCGCTTGAAATGGACTTCATTCAGCAGTGGGGCAGGGGGTGGCTGGCACAGGTGGAAGGACAGTGCCCAGGAGGCCTTCTCCCTGCAGGGGGGTTGAGAACGGTTGAGGGTGTGGAGACCAGCAGCTGGCAGAAGACATATAAAATAGCTTCTCCAGGGAGGCTGAGATTATGGTTCAGGGGTGCCAGGCACCATTCCTACTCAGCCTCTCCAACGCCCACCTCCCATGCCCATAGATCTTCCCCTGCTGGTCCAAGGTCTCCAAACAGGGCTGCTTCTATAGCAGCCAAGGATCCCTGTTCTGTTGAAGTGTAGTAACCTCTGGGCTGTAGCACTGCTGCTGTTCTATCCTGACAGGTGCCTACCCTGTAACTTTGTGAGCAAGGGAGGATGAGGGCTGGGTTGGCAGCCTCCAGGAAAGATCGAGACCATAGGTTTGGGGTCACCAGTGACCTGACCACCCCCCACCTTTCTCCTGGTCCACTGAATCTTGGGTCTTGAGTCTATGTTTTTTCCTAGCACCTGAGTGATAAAAGACTGGGATTATAAGTGCTGGGATTCGTAGAGGACCAGTGAAACACCTAGGCTGAACCAGGAAATGGGACAGGAGGTTGTATGAGGTTATTGTAAACAGTTTCACTTGGTGTTTTCCCGTTCCTAAGGCTAAATTGTTTCCCCGGCCCCAAATTTCACGAATCTTACAGATTAAAGGAAAAGAGTAACTTACTTGTAAAACAAACGGGGAAAATATATGCATTAATAAATATAGGGCTTCAGGGAAAGGCAAGAAAAACCTAAATGTATGAGGGTGGATATCATTGGGAATGTCTGTAGGAGTCGGGAGGAGAGGGAATTAGGGAAAAGCAGAGAAAGACAGACATAAATGTAATTAGCTTCAGCACAAAAGTGATGGGGAATTGAAAAGAGAGGTCAAGTATGTATGAGGCAAATGGAG